TATCGCTTAAAGCTGTAGATGAGGTTACGGAGTCTATAATTTGCTCATCGGTCAACATTTCTCTTGTAAGAATGCCATTATCAATGCTCACATATACGAAGAAATTGAAATCACTCAATTTGGTTTTAACTTGTTCTTCGACAACATTGGGACATCTTCGTCTGTGTCATACTCGTAGTCAGAGTCTTTATACTTTTCTAACCATTCGTTAAGTGGAATTTCATCGTCTGGTTCATAATCATTTTCTTTCCTTACAAATCCTCCATGCTTAAAGCAATTTGCAATGGCTTTTCGGCTAACTTTTTGCCAAGCTCTATGAATGAAATTGACTGCATCTAAGAGATTTATAAAAAATGTTTCATTTTTATCGATCGCCTCTAACGTTTTCATAAGAAGAATTTTTCACCGGCAGACTCTCCAACAATTTTTCCGCTACTGATATTATGCCTCTTCTTGAAACGCTCTCCCAACTTTTAGAACAAGCAAACTCTTTGTTTTTGATTTTACTCCCCATTTCACTGGCATTTTCTTGCACAACACTGCCACTTAGGGGAACGTTTTCTTGTCCTTTTTGAGTAAACCACTTAATAAGTTCCTTGTCAACCTTTTCATGTGCAGATAATTTTAAATTCATACATCTAACATTTGTTTTGTCATACGCTGATAAAATGTTTTCTCTGTTTTTCTCTGACTCTGAAGCGGACTTTACTGTATTACTATTATAAATTATTTATGAAAAAAAATTGAAATAAAGTACAAATGTTTCAGAAACAATCTAAACTTTTACAGAATACACGTAATTTTTTTCCAGTTGCTCTTGCGATTGAATCGTAACAGCAGAAAAAAATTCTGCTGTTGCCACGCTAACTGGTAGAGCCGAGAATACTTACATCAAAAATTGATACATTTGAGTAGCAATGTTAAAAAAACAAAAATCGGTGACGGAATTCTTTGTATTCCTATGCCACTTCACTTTCCATGGCTGTTAAACAAAACTGTATACAAAATGTGTTTTTCCTTTCCCTCATTTTAGATAGTAGCCCTGCCCCTTAGGAAACGCTTCTATGCAAAACGCGAAATCATTGGTCATCAGTTTGCCCTGATTTACCGCCCATTGAACCAATCGCTTACTTGCCTGTTACATAACAAGAAAAAGATTCTCGTTTAAAATGTATATCTAGATTTAGGTAAATAGGTCGGTTACCCCCACCATGTGCGCGGCAAACCAATGCTGATTTTCCGCATCAGTTCATTGATTTATTTGAAAATTGGGCGGTGCCAGGAGTACAAAAACAAAATGGCGTCGCTATATGATGGAAAAGTTGCCAGTTTCACTTAACGGCGCATCCAGGGACGGGGTCATGGGGGTCATGGGGGTCGTGACCCCCCCTTTTGCTGGATTTATGTGGACTAACGTTAATTTTTCTAATTTGATAGGCAACAAATGACTGAATTTCCACTACATGACCCCCCTGACGCTAATTTCAATGAGTGAAAATTGACGGAAAACCGCATTTCCACAACAAACACCACTAAGAAACTTCGTTAGGAAAAACAATATTTATAAGGTGAGCGTATTGGTTGCTTCGAAAGAGGGGCCCTGATAAACTGCAAACGACCCAAAAACCTGGAGTAGGCCGTGACCGTGCTCTATATACCGAAGCGCGGGCTGACAATACAGCGACATTGCAATGTTTATGTATGAGTTTCCAGGATTTTCCATGAGCTTTGGCTCTCATCGAAGTAAATTCGGCGCTAAGGTAAGACAGATTCCAATTTCAACCTATTCAAAGCGTTCAGAGCGTTTAGGGGCAAATCAATAAATCTAATTTCGAGTCAATGAGTGCAAATATCCAACACATATTATCGATTATTTCTGAATAATTTAGGCAAAATGCGAATTAGACCAGTATATTTACGGCCCGGGAGCACGAGACAGACACATTGCATGCTGCTGCAGCCTTTATTGTTAGTAAACATTCCCCCTTTGGCCAGTTTGTTAGGTTATGTTACGCAACAACTAAAGTCCAGTGTTGACTCACCTGAGCATATCAAGCACACAATTAAAATAACCAAAGATAAGCAAAGTAATAAAAGGGAAGAGCTTACTAGTGAAAGTATCAGAAATGTAGCCCAACATTTTTCAACACACACTTAACCCAACTTCCTTGACAAACGAAAATAAACACCTACCTATCTAGAATAAATTAGAAAGTTTATTTTACCTGGATTTTTCGGGCGACTCGATGGGTTTTTCGGAAAGTTCACGCATGTCGAAATCAATTGAGCACAAACATTCGCCAAAACATTACCCAACAAGGAGATAATTACAAACTCATCATCTCCCATCTCCTGCCACACTGAATTCGCAACGATAATAAGCCAGATAAAATGTAGGGAGATAAATTAATTGCTTTTAATTGGCCAAACATTCGTCACCACAAATAGATTGTTAATTTGCCACTGTACGTCTGTATTATTCAGTCAAATTGCTCAATATGTTTTTACTGCTTACAATACATCATGAATCATTCACGGAAAGAGCATATATTATTATTAGGCTTTGTTGGTGAACCCTAAACCATCATACCACCATCCATAAGGTAGTGAATTTGAATTGTATTGTAATGTATTGTGTGTCCTAGTCGAAGCAAAAACGTTCCAGTTTGCAGACATTTTAATGATACAAAAATAAACTTACCAGTCGTAATAAACAATGTGAGAATTTGGTGATGCAAATGCGTATTTCACAGCAGCAAATCATTGATCTGATATTCAAACTAACTCCTTAAACCTAATTAATACTATGCTAGAAAGGCACTAGAAAAATGAACACCCAACACAAACGTTAGCGATAGCGCAAACCTAATTAACTGCAGTCAGTTTCGGCGGCAGCTACTTGGTCGGGCGTTTCATCTTCGTCCTCAAGCATTTCCTGGTAAAATATTCGCGATTAGACCGTTACATACTGCAAAGGCGCCTCCAAAATACCTTGAAGACCTTCACAAGAGTCCTGGACTCTTCCAGCATCGCTTTACATATTTTGTTTTCCTCCTGCAGGACTGATATATTCCCTTTGAGTTTTTCAACTTCGTGCATAATTTCATCAATTGACTCTTGTCTGGTTTCTGCCAATGCCTTCCAGTACTCTGCAGATGGTTCCTCTCCAGTCAGATCGTCAATGTTTAAAATGTATTTTTCAGTTTGGGTTTCTTTGTTTATCAGCATGGGCTTAGGTTTAGATTCAGCGTTATTTCTGTAATTACCGAAAAACAAAACAGTGCATTTTCATCGGACTGGGGGTTTTCGCATAGCACTTACAAAATTTTGTTGTCTTTTTTCGGCAGTGATCGTCCAGCCAGATTTTCCTTGTCTATAGATGTCGGCTGCAGGGTTTTCAATCCTCTTCTGACATTTTTGGCATTTTCCTGAAATTGAACATTGATAGTCAGCTCAAGAGTTGATAGGAATTAATCCAAATTGTATCCCGGTCCGATAGAAATGAAATAGTTTTTTTCAGCGCTTTTAACAAGAAATAACCTAAATTTTCATTTCGATATGACTGGCAGCCCACGCGCTCACCTGCTGAACGTCAGTATCCACACTGATAACAACTTTTTTGGATTGCTCGGTTTTCATCTTCCCAACTACATACAAGTAGTTACTTTGGTGAGGCTTATTATAACAATACGAAAGAACTAAATGGGGATTTATAAGAATACAAATTGGCGGTTACTTCTTTGTTTATACTCGCACTCTCACTGACTGATGACAGTCATGACAATCAAATTCCTTCCAAAACATGCAATGTTGCCTTTCTGAATGAATCGAAGGTAATTTTGTAACATGTTAATTTTTTTTTTTTTTTAGTAGTTTAGAGTATACATATTCCAAATCAAATTCATTCCTGGGTTTCAGTCATTTATTGTCTCTATTTATCAATCAAAATACGTTTCGGTGTATTTTTCTAATAGCCAAGGCTTAAAGCAGCAACAATGCTACACATGAAAACTGATGATGGTGGAAAAATACACCGAAACGTTTTTGATTGAAAAATAGAGACAATAAATGACTGAAACTCAGGAATGAATTTGATTTGGAATTGAAATACAGTCAGGAAAATATATACAGTGAAGTATACATATTATAATATTATTGCTGAAATTTACAGTTTATTCATAAACATTGTACGAGGGACGCAAAAAGAAATCCAGTACTTTTGCGAAATTGTTGCTGTCTTTATCCCACCATCTTCTCTTTTGCTTTTGCGCGTTACTTCTGTAAATACGCGGAAGCAACAACTCTGGCAAGTATCACAAAATATCCCCCCTGGGAGTATGTTCTGTGGCAAGTATTTACAATGGAAACGCCCTGAGGTAAGACTGCATCCTTTTTAGGACGTAATTAAGGGCATTTCTGCGTAACTGTTGAAAAATCTACAAAATCTACATAAAACCCCACTGTAAATCGCAGTTGGAAGAAAAACGTTTAAAAAGCCCGCCCGTGAGTGGCAAAACAGCTGTCAGATTAAGAGCGGGACTGTAAAACTCCAACACTTTAGAGCCCAGGCAATTTGAACAAATATCGAAATTCCACACATTAAAACTAACTCTATGCGCCAGTAACCTTACAGAGTTCAAGACGGTACCAATTCTCCCTCAACTATAAAACAATAATTCAATCGCATACACAAGTGTTCGCTGTTTAAATCCTGTTCGCCTGCCACATCGCTTTCATTACGTCACGTCAGTCATTGTCGATGTTTCACTTTGCATTCTAGACATCCCAAATTCGTGTACATTTTCACTCTCTTTTACAATTAATTCGCTATTGTGGTGCAAATCAGTGCAATAAACGTAACCCCATCGTCCCAAACAGTTTTACGCAACAATCACCGAACAGAACCATGAATCCCGAATAGTAAGTATCGATTTATCCTTTTTCATTGCTGTTAGGACGACATTATTTTTCATTTGTTAAAATGCGCAGTTTTTAGAGGTGTATGCTAAAGGCTGCGATTAACTGGCTTCCAATCGAGCAACAAAGGGCCTTGCTGTTGTTCCCCATTGTGTTTGATAAAAATAGTTTTCGTTTTTCTTGGATCCACCCACCGTTTAAACTCCAGTCAAATTCACAAGGGATAAGGCACGTCATTGTTTTGTACTCTGCCATGCATTGTGATTCATAATTTTCTATCAGTTTTTTTGGATAATTGATCACTTCTTGGACAAACGGCTGGTTGGTTTATTCTACTATTCAGAGACTCCCATCATCAATAGTGTTGGTACTTTCATAACTGTGTGTGTTGAAGTGAATGGTTCCACTCAAATGTATTATTGATTTCTGTTTTATCATTTTTCCCCAACCTGTATTCTGATGTTTAGATATGGAATCAAAAGCCGATCCCAACATCCTAAGGCGTAGTCAATCCAATACAACTAGCAATTTCCGATATAGCTGACAATAACACTTCTAATCGCTTAGTGCTATATTAAAGACTTGGTATTCACACTTCCAGCAAAGTCTCGGAGGGCGAATTTTAATATCAAGTCTCTAAATTATCATTAAAACTACATCATCCGGAGCTGCTCTTAGGATTAATCAAACCTCGATCCAATCACATGCATTGGCCATCCGTGCTTTGTCTTATTTTTGTGTAAAACCTAATGTTCATTTCTTTTCAGCGATTATTTATTCAAACTTCTGCTGATCGGCGATTCAGGAGTAGGAAAGTCATGCCTTTTGCTTCGATTTGCTGTGAGTACTTTTCAAGGCAGTTCAATAATTTAAATGGATCTCATTAAACTCTGTAAACTCTTAGCTATTACTAAGCTATTTATGAGCCATTTTCATTCGTTTCACTTTCACTTGAGTGCCCAAGGAAACTATTGAACTTTATGTTGTTTTTCCAGGATGATACCTATACGGAAAGCTACATTAGTACAATAGGAGTAGACTTTGTAAGTATATTTTATCTTGGTATTATCGCCCTTACACTTAATTGGAAATTCCTATTGCAGAAAATCAGAACTATTGAGCTAGACGGTAAAACAATTAAGCTACAAATTGTAAGTATTTTTAAACAGGCATTAAGTGAAAAAAATGGGAGTAATTAAATAATTGTTCACAATCATAAATAGTTAAAATTGGGGGAGTGCCTGAATAAACCTAAATATATTATCGGTGCCAATAGATTCGTGTTAACTAATCCCAATCCTCATAATATATTCAAGGATAGTAAACAAACATGATTAACATTTTCAGTGGGACACTGCCGGTCAGGAGCGATTCAGAACAATTACTTCAAGTTACTATAGAGGTGCGCATGGAATCATCGTTGTCTACGATTGCACGGATCAGGACTCTTTTAACAATGTGAAGCAATGGCTTGAGGAAATCGAACGTTACGCGTGCGACAATGTCAATAAACTACTCGTAGGAAATAAGAGCGACCTTACCACAAAGAAAGTGGTAGATTACCAAACTGCCAAGGTAATGCGATTCTTACCGCCCAGGTGTTTCATTGAATCAACCAATTTTTTTTAAACAGGAGTACGCAAGTCAATTGCACATTCCATTCCTAGAAACATCCGCAAAAAGTGCCACTAATGTGGAACAGGCTTTCATGACGATGGCCGCCCATATTAAGCTTCGAGTCGGGCCTCAAACATCAATGGGTGATCAGGGTGGAAAAGTGAAATTCGACCAGAGTCGCCCGGTCGAATCTACCAAATCTGGTTGCTGCTGAAAGAAGGTTTACTTGGCTAAGAGCGTGGTAAGTAGCAGTCAATTCGTTCACTTTTCGTGTTAACTGTATAGAACTTGCGGGGTGTTTTTTTCGAGCTGTAAATCCGTTAAAATTGTGCTGTGTTAACACCGAGTTTCCGTTTGTGTTGCAGGTATAGGTGGTCAACTCCCAACTTATAATTATTTTTTGTACAGTAGCCAGTTTGGCTACGAATAATTATGTTCTATTTAGTAAAATATCCGTCTACACGTCGTATAGAGATTTTTTTCGAGTTCTTACTTAAATTTCGTAAACTTTGTAATATAAATATAACATTAAATCTGATAGCGTAATTAATACTGTTTATTTTTTTTAATTCGTTATTTATTAACTCAATACTGGAATGCCTGTATAATAGAGGATTTTTTAGGAACAAAGGGTTTCAATTGATAGTTATATAAGAATCTTACTCGATAAGAATGTATTCCGTTTTTGTGATGTCTACTTCGTCTTTGTTTGAAAAATAATGCATACTCTTTGTTGTTTAGTAGAGTTATTTTAATAAAGTATATTTCACCTTATGTATTAAACCGCTGGTTTAGTATGTTTCATGCACTCGACCAACTCATCATTCATCATCACTGTCATACCGATTTTCTGCTTTTTTTTTTTAGACAAACAAGTTCGCATGAAATGTGTAGAAAATTTTTCTAACTGAAAGAAGTAAAAATCTATTTATTTTATTAAAAGTTCCGAATAATTTTTAGAATAAATAACATGATTTAATATACAAACAGGTTGAGTTAAAACGACGAATTGCCTATTTAGAACTTGAAACCATCACAGGAATTGATTACAAGCGTCGTTTAACAATATAAATATGTAAAGTTTGTTTTGCAAAGCTCTCATGCAGTTAAAGTTAATTAAATCCCCCATTAGCAATGGATAATGAGTTTTTCAGCTGATTTAAGGTAAATTATGCCCAAATTGTATGTTTATCTAAACCGCACTGCACATCGACTCACAAACATCCTTAAATACATTTTCATTATACACAGTAATATTATATATTCCATGCCCCATTTACAAAAGAAACTAAGCTATTTGCAACGCAAATTACAAATTCGTTAGTCCATTCGATTATCCCGCACTATCTTAATGAATTATAGAAGTATAAAAATAAGTAAAATTAGCTGTAATGACTGGTTGAAGGTGTCGATTTTTAGTTTGGACATAAGCCATTGAACACAAATTGTCGAGAGTTTTTTTGCCAATCCATCCAAACACAATGCAAGTTTGCTTTGATTTTTAGCTGCTCCTATCTGCAGGAAAAAGACTAATTTCCTGAACAGCTTTCTACTTTCAGTGACTTGCAGTTTTATTGGTAATTACGTAGAAATTTGATTTGTTCGCATTATTTTCCAATTTACTTTCGGCAAACAATGTAAACACATTTTAATCAAAACGATCACGATTTGCTTTATATAATTTGCAAAAATCACTTGCGACCCAAAGACTACAGTCACATGGGTGTGTAGTCTAATTGCACATACAACTGTTTAACACCGACAGAAGCAAAAATCATTTGCGTGTGTTGAACCACGTATTTCGGGTCCACATTTTTCGAAACTTCCAGCTTGATAGCACCCACGTATACGTTGCTGCATAGCGTCCAAAAGTGTGGTTCTTGCACGGAATACACTCCAGCTAAGCTGATCACTTTTTGGTAGCACTGTGGCAGTACACTGTCCAAGGAATACGGCTGTCTTTGCATGAGGACGGCCACAGAGTCTTTGATTAGAGCCAAGACACTGAGAGCGATCAGAACCGCTATAAACATTGAACAGATTGGATCGGCTATCATCCAACCAAACATCTGCATTAGCACTGCTGATATGATTACGCCCACACTTCCTGAAATTTCCACTCAATTTCGATTTGAACTTATTGAAGAATACTTCCATTCCTTACCCAGGGTATCAGCCAATATATGTAGAAATACACCTTTCATGATTTGGGAATTAGGACCCTCATTGTCCATCTCAATAGAGTGGTCATGAGAATGATTATTGTGGGAATGACCATGTGAGGCACCTCCATGACTGTGCCCATGCGATGAACCTCCTCCATGAGAATGTCCATGTTGGAAGGCGTAAACACCCACTAAGTTTACAAGGAGCCCCAGGACGGATACTATGAACAACCTTTCGTGTTTTACCTGAAATTACAGATTTTATGAGTGAATGAGGAAGAAAATGAGGTTTGTATTACCTCTGGGGGTTCAATGGCACGTTCCACCGCTTCCGACATCAGGAAAAATGAAATAAAGAGCAAGAACATGCCGTTCACAAACCCTGCTAGGATCTCAGCTCGCACATAGCCATACGAATATCTATCGTTAGCTTTCCATTTTGTGATCACTGAGGCTGCCAGGCCTGCTACTAAGCCAGTGCAATCGAAGAACATATGAAATGAGTCCGAAATCAATCCTGAAATAATGTCGCATTAGTGCTGTTTTTCTTAGTTTTAGAGTGCATTTCGATGGTTTACCTAGACTGTTGTTCCATATTCCATACAGCAGTTCCACGAAGGCAAAGGAGAAATTCAACAACAAAAACAGAAATAAGTTTCTAGAACTTCGATCTGAGAAAATTATCCGTATGTATCCATTGACTTTTTCCTTGATTCTAGAGCCAAACCCTCTCGAATATGTATCTTTATGGGACAACGGTAACATGTTTGGTGGCTTGCAGGTTTTTCACTTGACTATAACATAGTTTACACCCTTTCTCTGCCACGTTCTAACCTGTTTGCCACTTGGTGATTCACTTATCTATCTATCGACAATCATCAAACGCTTGAAGTGGTGCAGTTTTTCGAACGGTAAACGGTATTGAAATGCTAAAATTAAGAGAACATATGCAATTTTGCTCTGACAGCCGAAACCGGCTGTTGGGCGAATTTTGCCATGTTGTCAACAAAACCTGACGTCATTTGGCAATTCCCCCTTGACAAGCAGGTTGGTAACAGAAAAGCTGTAAAAAACCTGTGTAGTGATGAATAAGCGTGTACAGCGGCGCTGCCAGCTAAGGGATTACTGATTTAATATTGCCAGATTTCATCCAAAATTGGCAATGTATTTATTTTATACAATTATAATCGTTAAGAGGTACTGAATTTCTGCCTAAATTTTCCTAATAAAAAATTGATCATTTTTAATTTATTTATTCAAATATTTTAAACGCCATTAAAAATAAAACAATATTAGAAGAACCCAATTTATTAGTTTTTTTTCCAGATGGAACAAATTTAGGTAGCGAAACAGTGTTGCCTAATAAGCAACAGCGCTAAATTACCTCAATTTCTGGGAGTTTTCTCCTTACTGTTGGCAACACCTCAACTCCACTAACAGACCGCAGGTTGGCAAATCCGGTTCCGTTTACGATCTCTTTGAGTGACCGAGCAAGATGGTGAGTGCATGTTTCCTTAATTTTTAATAAATTTTCTAAGTATTCGGCACTTAATATTTGCAAAATTAATTCTATTTTTCCAATCCAATGTTTGACTAGCTTTTGTGAGCAAAAAATTGCATTTCTCCATACCTAACCTGAAAAGTTAGGTGTTCTCCGCGTGTTTGATGATGCATGCCTTTATGAAACTGTTCAAACGGCTTAAATGGTTCCGATGTTCCTCTAGAGTTTTCGCGTAGAGAGAGTGTCTGCTTACTTAAGTTGTTTTTTATGATTTTAGCCTCCAAAGAAGGATTCGAAGTCGTCGGCTAAACAGCCCCAGAAAACCCAAAAGAAGAAGGAGGGATCCGGTGGCGGTAAAGCCAAGAAGAAGGTAAGAGTCCCCCGAATGTTTTTCTATGAATGCCTTATTAATTATATCTTCCCGTTTGCAGAAGTGGTCCAAAGGAAAGGTGCGCGACAAGTTGAACAACCAGGTGTTGTTCGATAAGGCTACCTACGACAAATTGTACAAGGAAGTGCCTTCCTACAAACTGATCACTCCCTCAGTTGTATCTGAAAGGTTGAAGGTGAGGGGGTCCCTGGCCAGGCGGGCTCTCATTGAATTGCAACAGAAGGGTACGTAGTTTTGGGTTAATTTCCAGTTAAAATGAGTAACTTTGCCCCATAGTGGCGCACACGTGATGACAACTATTTATTTCTCGAATTATCCATGAGAGGAAAAACTGATTTAATGAGTCTGATGTTAAATCGGCAACTTGATACTTTCCTTGAACTGGAATGATGACGATCGTAATAAGCGGTTTTGTTCCAGGTCTAATTAAGCAAGTCGTGCAACATAGGGCGCAACTTATCTACACCAGGACGACAAAGGGAGACGACCCAGTTGCCTAGGTTCAGAGGTGTGTAAAAATATAATGGAAAAATAGTTCCTGTTTTTTATTTTATATTCCCATTCAATTTGCTTGTTTTGGATTTTTGAAAATCAAGGCGTCTCAAGCGTATTAAATAAATCACAATCAATGTTAAATGATTTGTATTGCGATGAAACTTAAAACTACGAATAATTTTACAGTTAGAAACTACAAAAGCCTAGGTATTTATGCGCCAACAAGACGAACTAAAAAGAAAATAAAATTGAATTAATATCTGAAAATCTCCGAATATTCTTATCAGGCGAATAGGAAAACGACTTTGTTGAAGTAAATTTTAGTCTCAGAAAACATTGAATATCGGATAAAGTTAAAACAATCCCATTAGGGTCAAACGAGGGTACAAAAACTGGTTCACAACTTTCAGCTCGTTTCACGTTATGTGAAACGAGCAGAGAGTTGTGGTAAAATAGTGGGAATAGAACTTATATTTTAGTGACGCGTAAGACTAACATCGCCTTCATATTCGTTGTCAAAAAGTTGTTTCTAACAATACGCCACAGATTATAATCGAGCAATAATTTACACATAAACCAATCAATCCAGGAATGATTACAGTAAAAAATACATATAAAGAAATATATTTCATTTTTTTAAAACCTTAGTTTAATACGCATCTAATTGTTTAGTATTCAGTGGGTTCGTTCCGCGTCTCAACCTGAAATAGTAAAAAAGTAGATTTTTTCCAATAGTATACAAAAAAATTTATTTTACCTTCAAGCAATTGGCGACATCGTTATTTTGCGATGATTCATTTTCTAGGAATTCTTTCTGCAACTTTAGTTGAGAGGAAAGTTTAATGCACGTGGCGTCTAACTCCTGGCGCGATACAAAGTTATTTTCCGGTGTGTGAGGCTGTGTATTGAGTGGTTTTGCGACATTTAGGTTCTCGTGCTCTCCAGCTAATTGGCTTTCTAAAGTTGATATTTTGTTTTCTAACTGAAATTAATAATTATTTGATTTATACACCGTATTTTTCTGGTTTCTGTTATTGTCGAGATTCTCAGTACCAAGCACATAGTTCTAACGGAAGGCGACTGCGAGTTATTCGGGAATAATCAATGTACAACAGTGTTAAATTGAAGACCCTGCACAAAACTGTGTGAGCCGGCAAAGAAACAGCGTTAAACATTACAAAAGCACAATATAGATTAACGATATTAAACGATACCTCGTCGATAATAACAGGAAGAGATTTTTCTATACACTTGAAAGCAAATTGGACCCCGTTCGAATCAGGCGGGTTTGGGGTGAGCGCAGTTTTCTAAAGAAGCCCATAGTAAAATGCGACTCGTTTAGTCCATTTGTTGTTTTATGCTGCAATAAGCAAATAGTAATGGAAACTTACCTCGGGAATACATTGGGTTTTTAAGTCTCTGATCTCTTCGTCTTTCTCCGCTAGCAACGATCGCCAAGTGCTTTCTTCTGCAACTATTTGATCCTGAAGCGCGTTCAGAGTCGTTACCTGTAACAATATAAACAAATCAATCAAACAGAACCAAAAGAGAAACTTCCAGCTTACAGATTCGTCCAATGCGTTCCTATAATGATCAGCTTGAAGTTTCAATTTGACCATTTCAGCCGTATTGTTCTGGTGTGTGTCTACTGCTTCATGGACCTATGAAATCAACACTATGCAATAGTCAACCGCCAACAATTAGGAAAAGTTACCTCAACTTGAGTGCTCTTGTGGCACTCTGTTGCATTTCTACTTTCTGCTGCTTTTAAAGCTTCCACCAATTTCCAGTTCTTTTTGCGCAATTGATCATTTTTACTTCTGTGTTCTTCGATTTCACTTTCCAACAACTTGCATTTTTGATCGGCTGCCTTCTGGTCCTCCAGATACTTTGCCTCTTCCTCGTGCAGGGTTTGCTGGAATTTGGTCAGCTGCAGTTTCAGGAACGATATTTCGGTGGTGAGGTTGAGTATCTGAACTTCCTGATTTTTGGTCACTTCAGTCGAGCCATTGATCTGCTCACACCGTTCTTCTTTTAGTTGTAAAAGTTCGGATTGTAGCTATAAAAGACAATTTCTTGTTGCAGCAAAAACAGTTCCAAGCAATATAGATTTTTGAACACTGACTGTGTGACTTTACTGACCTGTGCGATCATTTCGTTCTTGTGTTCTTCTTGCGCCAATGTGCTCGTTGTCAGCATTAGTTGTTCAGATAATCTGCGCGTCTCCTCTTGAGCTGCGCTCAAGGCATAACTATGATTGCTCTGTAACAGACCGGAGATGACAATATGAAAATCCCCTTAACACTCGTCCTCATACCTCCAAAGCCTGCAGCTTGATAAGTAAATTTTGGTAATTGGTATCTTGTTCCTTCCTTTGACGCGTGAGTAACTGCAACTGCTCACCAAGCTGTAGATTTTCGGCTTTGAAATGAGCGTCTGTCTATAAGAGAAAACCATTATCAATGTGAGGGCTATTTAAGGAAGTAGAATAAAATCGCCAACCTCTTGAAGCGTGATCATTGCGGCTTCAAGTTGATTCATTTGCATCTTCAGGGCCTTGTTTTCCTCTACGACCATTTCGAAATTCGCACTATCGGCATTACGCAGGTCCTCCAACTCCTGGATTCGTTTTTGCCGAAGACTGCTGCTGTTGAGCAATTGCAAAAGTTGAGACTTTTCCGACTGTTGCTCCATTCGAATCTCTTTGAGCTTGGCTTGAACGGCGGTAAGGGCTTCTTGTCCTTCGGCAACTTGTTTTTCTCTCTCAGCCAACTGCTTTTTCAGTTTTTGAACTGGATCAGATTTTCCCTGAAAGTGAATCAATTAGTTCCAGTTTGGTATTAGTGTTCGAAAAAACCGTACCTCAGACCACTCATCTGTAATAATCGAATGTTCTTGTTGCTTGTTCAGAATAAGGTCGACAAGTAGTTGGCTCTCGGTGTGAGAAATTTCCGAGTTTCTGATTGCTTCGATGATTTTATCACCAGCTGAAAATGAACGATTTGTTATGTTAATCGAATATGGACTAATTTTATTAAGGATATTGGTGGGTCTATGATAATTACGACACTGAACCTGCATCAGCATTGATTCTTATGGTAGCAACATTGACTCTGAAGTTCAAAGCCGCTTAGCAGCAGCACTTTTGAGACTAAAATTGCTACCACACCAATACGAAAACACCAAATTGCATGCATAGTAAAACGGTTTTGTACCTCTCTGTTTTTCCCGGATAACTGCAAAGTTTAAATGTGTCAAACAATTAGGTTTTTGAAAAGTACTTCTATTCTAATTCACTACCACACCATAGATACAATTCAATTGATTTCACAACACCATGTATACAGAGGTTTTAAAAAACATGCGGCATCCAATAAGAGGCAATTTTGCCATGAGCTAATAATACTTACATCCACATCTCTAAAGGTAACTTTGTTTCAAAGCATGGCGGTGTTACTTAAGATTGTTAATTAAATATCTGAATACCTTGTTATCAAAAGTGCAAACGAGAATTTAGCGCGTGGATCTAGAAAAATTATGTAATATTTACTAGCAAAGCTTAGTTTTTCAATTAGTCTTAAAGGCAACAATTGTAATAATGTTTTTAAAAACCTGAGTGAACCAAGTGCCCATATTTATCTTTTAAAAATTCATTTGGTCTACAACCTAATCACATACAATGGGGCATGAAAAAATCGTTTAAAACGTCCGGACAATAAAAAAAATCAAATACAAAGTCTGATGATAAGACACCAAACCTGAAATAAATAAATCGATAAATTTACTAACGTATTGGCTGTTTCGGGTTAAATTCGCTTTTCTTTTTCTTTTTTTCCTTTCCAATACTGGCGGCAGGTGCAGCTGGTTCTTGTACCACAGCAAGGACGACTTCCTCTTTAATCTTTTCCTTTTCCAGAATCACTTCCGGCTGTTCAGCAGCATTGTTCTTCTCCACTGGTTGAACCTCCGGTTTGGTTTGCTTGTTCTTCTTCGGTGCTTTCTCAGCTTTCGTCTCGATCTTCTGTAGAAATCAAATTAACAATAAAAGCTTGAAAGTTGAAAAGTTTGCTGGACAGGTTTAAGTATAATGGAAATCTCGTTCGTCAATGGCAGTTTTCCATGCATTATCAACAACTACATACTTGGTATAATACAAATTTGAAAATGAATAGTAATCAACACACTTTTTTGTAAAACTTAACGCAAAACTCCAGGAATTAACGTGCTAGAATCATTCACAAGACTAAAATTTTGCTCGCATATGTTTGAAAAACGAACTGAAAATATTTATGAGTGGATTTTGCCGGAATCGTTTTTATGCCCATTCTTGCCCGTGTGTTCAAGGTTGGTTGCAAACTTTAAGCGATATTCGCTATTATTCAGCAGTAGATGAGAACATCATTTTCCCGTAAAACATCCGTTAAAAATCCTCCTGCTTGTTTAATCTAATCAATAACCAGATCCACCTCAAATACTGTTAACGAATCGCTACAACGGAAAACTAGCAATACCATAACAAGACACTTACACTGCTGGAAATCAGGAGCATAATTTCATCTTTTGGTTGAGTATCTTCGAAATGATTCGCTACCGGCGTGGTTCCGATAACCGGAAGAATAATTTCCGTTTTAGATGATTTTTTGTCCAGAATAGAGCGCACCCGTTTTGCGCGCTTCTGTAAAAGCCTCAGTATGTACAGCTATTCAATCAGCTCAAGTGCAAGCTACTACAACCTGATCTTAGCTTAAACTAGATCGTAAACATACATGGAAGCGGATTGCTGATGAAAAACAGTCAGGAATGGATGTATGCGTCGTTTAGGTGTTAATAAAATTAGTTTCACAATATTTGCACATTGAGAAAGCTGGGGTTTCGGTATGATTCAAGTGATGCAAGCAACGCCCACAACTTCGACACACAATCGAACTAACCTTACTGGCCAATTCCTTTTCAATTGGAACTTCAGTAGTATTTTCCACGAACACCACATGGCTCTTGGACTGCTTGGTTTGGGGTTTTGCTGTTTGAAAAACAATTTTTTTAAAATCCAACTCCTGTGTTTTTTGGCAATTCCTTCTACCTGCTGAATTGTTGTTATTGAGCTTCGGTTTTGCCTGTGGCTTTGCCTCTTCTGGTTCTGGACTGTCTTCTATGGTTTCCCAACTTGCCTCTTTGGAGAACGCCTCTTCAGTTGTTGGAGCCGCATTGTTCTTATTTCCCTATAAAACATCTAGTTCAGTCACCCATTCAAATGGGGATTTTACGAGCTGTGGTTACCTTTTTCGCCTTTTTGTTCTTCTTCTCCTTGGGCTTTGCATAAGCACTTTGCACTAGATTTCTGTTGGCCGCCTGCAGTTGCTTGTTCTCCTCCCATAGCTCTTCGTAGCTTTTGGATCGGCCTCCATAGTAGAAGTAGGTCAGACACATAGTAACACAACCGGTCATCAATACGAACACTATGCTTCCTATGACTGCGTTTGTATCCATTTTGCCTGCAAGTAAATTAAACACTAATTCACGGTTGGATTTTTGCAAAAAGATTCTATCGATTTCTATGAGAAAGTCGACAGTAACTGCTCATTATGTAAAGGTTCTGTACATCCCCCATTTCCATTAAATAAATCTCAATGCCATCATTATCGTCTACCATTAAACAATGGTTCTTATCAGCTTGCGAACGTCAGAAACTGATGTATAATTACAAGTTTAGAGTTATCTTTAGTGGCTTGCACATGAATTAATTCAGAAATAGATCCGAATTAAAATTATTTGAAAGCGGGTTCTATTTGGTGTAAAACTGCAATTTTGCTAATAACCCATGTTTACTTTCATGCAAGAAAAATTAAATACTGGATAATACACGAGGCAAATATTTGAGATATTTGCCTATCTATCCATGCTTAGTTGTTTAAAAATCCATTAAGTTGTAGTAGATAATTTACCCCAAGATAAGCATTATGGTTATCAAAATTCATTTATTTGCCTAATTTGTACTGATAAATTAAGACTACTACTAAATGAACCAACGATAAAAAGTATGATTGAAAATAGCTTCGATTGAGGGCAACAGTTGGACTGGGTTTTTTAAGAGGCCGGTTTTGTGCCGATTCTGAAGACGCTGGCCAGGTGTGCTAGCGAAACCTCCGAACCAAACTCCTATCGACAGCGGGCCAATAATGGGAAAATTAATGCTCTGTTGGTCTATTTAACATGTATGACTTAAGATCTGATCTTAAGACAATAATAGGCCCATCTAGGATTTTCCAGGATGTTGCATATGAACCATAGTTATATCAGGTTCTTGGGGCGTGCACACTTTCACCGATTTATTTCCCATAAATTAATGAAGTAAATACAAAGAATGGCTAAACGAAGTTGCTAAAGGGCAAGATCCCTTTCGATACTGACAAAATGGCTGTTCAGATGGGCAGTAAACATAGCCAAAAACTAATTCAGTTACCGGCCTGTATATTGCCGATAAATGCCCGAACTTATGTTATAAATAAAAGGGTTTTTGTTGCAAATGCAGCACATTAACCGGGCCACGTAGCCAGGTACTGTAGTTGGTTTCCAGGAAACGTTCACATAAGTATTGATACTTACGTTGATCGGTGTTTTATTTATGCGGGGAATTTCACCAAATAGTTGGCCAGTTTACTAAAATACACTCACAATAAAAGGCGATTCAAGAAAACTGAGAAAACGAAAAGACAAAACTAACTTTTTATAATTTTGACGTTCACTGTCAGATCGTCATATCAATCTCAATATTGACAAGGGTGGGGAGACTTAACATAGGGAAATTCCGCACTTTTTATTGGTGTCATTGCAGGAGTTTTAATTACCCTGGTCACCATTTGAAGTGTCTAGATGCTGTTACATACTACTTTTCAAAGATATTATCAGCAAAAAACACCTTAAGCTCTGCTGACGTTTGAACTAAGCAGAATGGCAAATATGTTTTCATTTTTTCAACTGGTCATTTTTTAGACTGGAGTTCCACTGCATTTCCACCAAAAACAACACTAAGAAAAAGAAAAACACGGCCAAAAACTACTTGACATCAAGCGAAAAGTACAAAAATACAAAGCTGTGATTTAAATAGCATCAAGCCCTAAACAAACTCCCCGTTTCCGAAAATCTTCAGGCTCCTCTTGAATGACCATTTCACCTTGTGACTCGTGTACTCCATTGATAATGGATGGCCTTGATAATTCAAAATAAATAACCTCCAAATGTCTAGACTAGAAACTTAGGTTGGAAAGTTGCACTATTTACTGTTAAAGTTCATAATATTTTGGCAAGCATATTAATCTAAATGTGATGCATTTGAAATAGATGAATGCTGTAATCCACAGTTTTAGTTGCACAAAATGTGGCACAACAAGCTGCTGTTACTTACAAATGGTTTGGGGTTTCATACATCGTGTCAGTGTGCCTCAAAGGCCGGCAAAGTTTTGAAGAAACTCATGGTGGGAACTAAGAAAAGGTTCATTTATTTGCCTGTTTGATGCACGTTGATGACTGTGTGTTATTTGTGTAGCAAAAAATACTTTGTGGACAATGGCAATCCGATGCTTCCGTCTGCAAATAGTCTTTTCGGAAAAAACTCTGTTGCTTCTCTGGAAACGCAGATCACTGGCAATCCCAGAAGGAATAACATGTTAAATAAGCTGTTTATGCGGTATATTACCGATATTATGGCCACTGGGGAATATTCCTCAGAAATATTAGGGTTTGGAATTGAAATAAACAAGGTACCTATACCTCTCCGAACTTTTTAAGCTATTTATATATTGAAAACGTGTTATGCCTAGTGCGTAAAACCCTTGAGTGTCTCTGGTTGTTCCCAGGTGAAAGTTAGTCCTGACTACAAGATCCTCAATGTGTACTGGATAGCTAAAGAGTCGGAATCTCCGGAGAAAATCGACCAATTACTAAAAAAGAATGCAGGATTCCTGAGACACGAGCTTTCATCGCTCAATCTAATGGGCAATGTGCCCAATATTATTTTCGTAAGAGGTAATCATGAAAGTCCAACATTTATCAACGCACGCTCCAAACATCGAATTTGCAGACAGAAATTACAATAAATTTGGCGATGTTCAGCAGTTATTGGCTAAGGCAGACTTCGGAGAAGATTATGTGCCTGAGGAAGCGGAAGCCTACAAACCTGAGGTTCAAATGATGGTGACCTCACTGGAACCTGAAGTGAAGGTTTGCTAGTTTAAAGCAAACTCCACCTTTTTGTGACAGTGTTTTTCAGATTAAACTGAAAGCCTTAGAAGCAAGTACCGAACCGGAAGACGATCAGACCTTTACAGTGCCACCCATGCCGCAGAATGTGCTAGGCTTGGACCATGCAGCCATTTTCAAAAGAGTACGCATTTTTAACAACAAAAGTTTTTAGAAGTGTTTAAAAAAATTCCTCCGTAGGTTACAAAAGGCCTTTCGATGTCAAGAGCTGAACATAGAACTGTGGATACCACTGACTGGATGAAATGGAGCCAGTTCAAAGAAATCCAACCAATCAATCAAGACCCTGTGAGCTTTGCTAACCATCAAGAGCAAAGAAAGGCTTTTAAGATGTTTTTGCAGCAGAGGCAGGTAAATGTTCACATTTCATTCAGTAGCGCAATAAAACATTGTCCCATTTTGAGGCTAACTTAGATTTGTTTAATGTTGCAGTTGTTGAGAAAAAAAATTTACAAAATGGACAAACACTGGACAGCCGATAAGGAATACTTAGAGGAGGAATTCAGACAAAAATACGAGGCGCAATGCTCGATTGACTACCCAAATGAGACTGTTGGTGACTATGATTTTGAAGATGTGGTGGATGAGGATAGCGACTTCAAATAACGTGCAGGAAATTGTTCTACATTTGCTAATCGGAAAAATAAAACACCAACAGTTGTAAAAAATGAGATTCTTTAAGATCAACGTGTTTTCTATATAACATATTCATTTTAAATTCACGTCCTTATCACAAAACCTACGTAGGAAAATGAGACAACTAATTATGTACATTCCAAAATGAGTATCGATCAACATCCAACGTATCAAAAAAATTGAGGACGAGCTTTTGTGAAAGCCCCCATGTATATTTAAATGAAAAACAACTGAAAGTAAACCGGAACAAAGAATTAGATTTGACAAAATAAACGTAGAATTGACCGCACACGATTAATTAAACTTGCCGTAAACGCTTGGACGAAGCGCGTCGGGAACAATATTACAAAGTATAAAAAATTACTATGTAACAAATCTTAATTATCTTAAGTTAATTATTATGAAGAGCTCCACCTGAGTGAAACCAACATCAACTTCTGAACAGTTTCGTTTCAATCAGGAAAAGATCTTCGGAAATATATTAAATATTTTGGTCTAATCTCTATAAATTAGCGAGTTTTGGAATCAACCCGATAGGGCTGATGCCAATGGACGGTTTTAGAGACTAAATGAGCACAAGTTTTGTATTTGCTTACAATTAAGCAAAAAAACTGTTTCTCAACAGCGTTAAATACACAACGGCTGGTCGATGAGATTGACTTTCCTTACAACTAGTCATGGTAATTTACCGATTTATACCTTAAATTTGTTCTGTAGACTTCAAGAGGAATCTCGACGTTGCAATGCAATTTTCGCTATTTCTAGATGTACTCGCTAGCAAGTACACGTGGGGTTTCTTAAGCCAACAGGCGAAGCCATAATGTTGTGAAATACACTGCGCTTTTTACACTACAGCTTATGCGCTATATTGTACAAACTCAGCTACCATGTGCAGAGAACATCGATAATGATTTTTCATGCCTAAGAAAAACCTGCCTAAAACACTTTCTCCTTAAGCCAAAAGTTACTGATGAAAAATCATTATTACTGTGTGAAACGGCGCCGGGACAATTGACGACCTGCATGCCACTTAATTCTAATGTACATTTGTAGGAGGACAAGGAATAGTTGTGAACTTTGCATGTTGTACTTTCCTCAACGCGCTAAAATTACGCTTTATCTACTACTGATCAGGCATTTTTTACAATTGCTTTATACACTAACTACATCACCCCATTCTCAGTCGAACAAACTGGAGCGTTTTTTTGTCAGTACTCGTGTTCAGTTACACGAAATGGTCGAAATATTGCATAAATCTCATGTTCCTGAGCAATAGCACAAAACTTGCGGCAATCAGCGTGAAAAGAGGCACGGAAAGTCGGGTTGCTGAATTGTATATCCAGCAATATGGACACTGAGAGCTGCCGCAAACGTTGCAAATATCCAACGCATACGATGAGAGAGAGTCGATTAGAGTCTCGTTGAAGCGCTCTGTATGCGAAAAACAAAATGAATTTGGGTTTTTTGTTGGAAAGGACAAATCTTACCGGGGGCATAGTAGTCGTAGACCCTGACGGCTAAATACCTGGACATATTCGCCACTGGGAACCACCTTTCCACTGTGAAGTTAACGCACGTGTCCTCACTGTCCAGCTGCAATGGCACAAATTAATGCTAATAAGAACTGGGAGAAATTGGAAAAGACTCACATAGTCAAAGTAGAAGAACACCTTTCTTTCGTGAAACTTGGCCCTTTGCAAGTTTCTGACTCGTCGCGAAATGATATACGCGTCCAGGTCTTGCTGCTGGACGATGTAACCGGTGGGAATCGTTACATCTAAAACGGCCATTCCCGACCGCTCGGACTCGTGCAGGTTTGTCCACCTAAAACAATGCCCGTCCGAAAACTGCTACTCAAAGCCAGTTTCTTCACTTACCTCTGGCAGCTCACGTAGGTGATATGCGACTGATTTCTTCCATAGAAGAACTGCTTAGTGACCAGATCGAACGCCTTTACCGGAGGTTGTGTTTGGAATTTTTCAATATCCACGTTGTATTGAACGTGCATTTGTAGAATCGCATAACCAGTGCCTCTTGCGTCCACCTTCACCGTTCCTGCAAAGTTGGAGTTTAAAAAACTAGTTCATTTATTGAATGCTGCGTGCTCACCCCAGGCATTGGGAATTTCAATATGCTGCAATCTGGCCCGGTTCTTATCGTTTACGTAAAGTAGTTGGCTTTTGCCTGGTAGCGACGTGGCTTCTATTTTGACCGACAAGCTGGAAATGTCCCTGATTCTTTGAGCCGAAGTGTATTCTATCAGCGCCTTCATAGCATTGGCTGTATCAGAGGTTGAGGCCCATCCACCGTCCCAAAGACGTTGTGTGTTGAGCCATCTAAAAAACCATTCTGTGTTTTGCCCAACTACTGAATAACAGAAAACCTCACCTGACAATATTATCGACCCACAGTTCCTGCCTTTCGACGTACACCATCAAGGCATATGCGGTAGCTTCGATGTTTTCGCTGTCGTATTCATACGGTAAGCGAGGCAGTAGGAAAGGCCGTTGATTTTCCATTTTAAATGGTGGTTGTGGAACGTTCTTGCGCGCGAAATAGAGCAATCCGCCTGCCAAGGTGCTCCTTAACAAGAAAAACAGTCAAAACCCCCCACATTGGACGTCTACAGTAACGTACTTCTTGGACAAAGCAATGAAGGCCCGCTCGGCATTGGGAGCCTTGATTTTCATCAGCGCATAAGCTACAATGGCAGTATCAAAAGTGTCCCCTTTGTCCTCAATCAGGTCCATGTTCCGTTCCAGCCATTGGATCGCTTTCTTGGCAGCAATGTCCACTTTTGAGCTCAGACCACCTGGAAGGGTAAAACGCATCGTCTGGACCGAGTTTTTGGGACAAATCGCCACTGCTTACTAGTCAAATCTTTCACGCTCTCCAAGGTAATCAAAACATGGGCTGTAAGGGTGATATTCCTCTGCGATACTCCGTAATTTCTATCGAAGTTTAAAGACGAGTTATATTTTCTGTCCGGCATCCACGTTGTTTCATAGAAGGACCCTTCTTCAGTCTGGTGCTTCAGCACCCACTCAACGGCTCTAGCTGGAAGATTTCCCACGTGAATTTCCCTTTTACTCGCTCAAGCTAATTAACATACCAATAACCACGGGGTCGATGTAAATGTAGTTCTCCCACTCGTAGAAACTGGCCTCCTGCAGAATTCTTGCACAGTACGCCGTGAGCCAAACTGAAGAAGCTGAGTTGTTCCTAAGGAAGATCCGCTGGTTAATTCCCTGCCTAGTTCAGATGAATGCGGATCTTACCAGTCGCTTCTGAACGTGGAAAAGCTCCCATCAGGCTGGAGGAAGCTCAGTTGGCGCTGATAGCCCACATTCAAATAATGGAAAGCATCCCGTTGCAATGTCTTGTTCTTCTGCTGCGTATATCGCATGTACAGTAAAGTGTACATGTTGACGGCGAAAGAGAACATGTTCTGCTCAGCAGAGTCCATGGGTAGGTGCAACAGGGAGGTTGCATTGACAGGCATGGTGGGAAATATCGGGCCAACCACGTCGCCCACTATGGAAATGCTCGCCTTGTTCGATCCATAAACGTAGTACCTTGAATTGGAATTAGATAGATAGACTTCAACTTTTGCAAGCGATTTTTAATTATTCTCGTTAAATTGCGTAGCTTTATCGTCTTGGAAACTAGCCCTTACCGATCATATTCATAGGGAATGATGGGGGTTTCAGTGATGTTCACATGCATATACTGGAATGTATAGGCTCGATTGCTGAGATCGAGCAACACTGATTGATGTCGGTGCTGTGGCAAGCCATCGGCTTCCACATGAAGTTTCCTGGTGATTTCATCCTGGAACATTATCGGTGAATGTTTCTTCCAGCAAAACCCTCGTTAGTTACCTTGCCGATGAGCGTAGAAGCATAAATCGTGACGTGGATGTCTCCAAGCCTGGTGGGCACAATAGGAATGTAGACTTGGGCGGCATCCTGGGCCTTAATGAAGATGAAGAACTGCGAAAAAATGCTTTTTTTTTTTGGGTGTTTCGCCTCAAAAATGTTTGTCTTTAAAAAAGACAGAATTCCCTCACGTCTTTTATTACAGATTGATAAATAGTGCTCCTATTTCGCAATAAGAACGAATTATTTATCAAAAAGTAATCAAGAACTATCA